TCTACGTATTAAAAAAGGTTGTTAAAACATCAGAGTGACGCCCTACCGATACTAGTGGTGAGAAAGTGTATTGCACCTTATTCAAAATCAATGCGGTCCCGCGGCCCTCTGCGGCACAAAGTTAAAAACTGTTGTTCTTTTGAGGCTGTCAAGATGGCGCTCGCGGCCCCCATAGGTTAAAAATCTCTGAGATTCTAAGAGACAATCAACTGAGTGTAAATACACATCACCTTGAAAGTTTACCAAGCTGACACCCCGAGATTGTCTGAAGAGACAGGAAGTGTTCATCCCAATTATAGACCTGACTAGAGATTGCACTCCTTCCTTATTTAGAGATGCAGCTTTAATGTCTCGCAACTTCTCCACTCAGTGACATCTTCTGTCCACAGTCTTGGGTGTTTCACTGCATTTTTCTTTATATGAACCAAACAACTGTTGGTTAAAGCTTTCAAAATGTCTGCTAAACATAAAATGGTGACAAGCAAAAATCAGATAGTAATAAAACCAATCTTACTGCTAAGAAAAGCATAAAAGAGTAAACACAAGGCCTTCTAATCCACACTAGCAACATTTTGGAAAAGCCATACCCAAATGCACAATCTACATTTCAACTGCACTAATAAAATTGGTAATTCTCATGATGTAATTCTACATGATCCTCACTGCCAGTAAAAAGAAACTTTCCCCCCATATATACACATTTCAAAATTTTGTCAATTAAATTTTTTTTCCACATACAGTACATATATTCTAAAAAAATTTTTTTAGAGATTTTGCTATTTTCTTACAAAGTTTTGTATTTTTAAAGTTTGTTCTTTCAGGCTAAAAATACAAAAGCATATTTTTTTTTCACTTTTACTTGAATTTGATGAGGTAATCTGGGTAAGCTTGGTCATCGTGGAAAACAACGTACATGTTGGGGTTGTTGGTTGCATCGACCACGCTGTCGTAACGGTCATGGGGCTGCTGTTCATCTRGAGCTGGAGGAATCTTCATCCCTTTTTGTCCCATAGTGTAGACACCAGTCAGGACTTTGGCTACGAACATCAGCTGAGAACCATCTGCAGCTGGTTTTGAATACATGGGCTGTGCAGAGTAGCTGGCCTGTTCAGRAAAATAGGTTCCTTCACCATACATTGTGGCTGGAGATAAAACATAATGTATTTAATTGTAGCAGCATTTTGTTCTTTGCTCTAAAAGTAATATGTGATTCTGTTTATGAAAAGGAACTTGCAATTTGTCTGTGAATTATTAAAAAAAGATAAATTTTTGTTCAGACTACATAGAGAAATCTACCATTTTGCCCAGCGAASCGCCTGTTGAAGCCAGTTTGTATGATGGAGTCACAGTTGTCCTGTGTCGTCCCATGGTACAGAAGCTTTTCACCAGCTCCTCCTGACAGGACGTTCTTTGCAGATATATGCTGCTTCTGAGCCTCGTAGGCGCGACGTAGATAAATGTTTTGCAAACGGTCAATCTGAGAAAATTAAAAAACAGTGAGCTGACCACTACAAAACATGCTCCTATGGTTTTCCAAGTGCAGTAAAAAAAAAAATTAAATGAAATTGAGAAGAACAGAAGTTTACATACAGTTCTGTTGAAAAGTGTTTCTGGTTTTCTAGATTTTTAACTAACATTTTTTACCTATCATTTTATACTATAAACAAAAAAAAGAGATCATTTTTATCAGGAACCAAGTGTGAAATGAATTGATGGGAAATTTCACTAACACATTTTTCATTATTTAGCTCATGTTTTGAGTGTTAAAACTTTTCCACTAACATTTTATTATTTAGCTCAATGTTCCTACATTTTGCTACATTTTAC